AGACGCACTTACAAAAACTAGAGTTATTTTAATCCAAAAGTTTACGACTTATAACAGGAGTTCCCTGGTATCTCTACAATAAAACTTCACTTAACGACTTACGACAACCAACTATAGACCAACACATACGTACTCTTAACTCTCGTTTTCATCTCAAACTACACGGACAACAAACATACTTATAAACGACATGGCCACGACTGACATGCTCATCAGGAGGAGATTAAAAAGGGTGAGAGATCTCCTCACCTAAATCAAGGAATAAAATAATAAACAGGAAGAGGTGCTGCTGGATGCTATCCTTCCTCATGCTTATAATGTCAATCCTTATTTATCCCAATAGATCTGCTGATTGTCAATTCCAGGACATGTGCAGATACATATTTAAAGAGAAAAAAAATGTTAATATCAGATAATGTTTTTCAAACAATACAAAAATAAATTGTTTATACTTTATTCCTGTCAGAAAATAAATCACAAACACGAATTCATGCATAATTTCCAGAAACGTGCTTAAGCAACAGTTTCTCCCCCCGTCAAAAGAACTTACTACTAGACACGATTTAGTATTGACGGAGCCTTACTAGGAAATTCAACACAAAGTCATAAATTCTGTATGTATATCTCGTGGTGTCGAATATTGCATAAATACCGAGAATAAAGTAATGATTATTGAAGCGGTATCTGTGAGCCACGTGTTTCTATTAAATTAAGTCACAAAATAAGTTTTATATATAACACAATAGTTAAACCTGAAAATATCGTGACACAACAGCATATAAAATCTAAATGCTCTAGGTAAATGCGCTAATGATTATTAAAACATGGAGTGACTTCAAATTTACGTATAAAAATTATCGGCTCATGGCAGACAAAATATTTATTCTGTTTCATTGGCAGCCGAAGGGCGAACCTGGGGCCGGGAGACTCACTTGGGGCTCACTCAGCCTCTACAAAGTGGGTACCCTTAATTAAATAATTTATTGAGGAAGTAAACCTGGTGGTTAAGCGTGACGTCAATCAAATCACCTCCTTGCCCAACCGTTGACCAAGAAACAATGCTTTTCCTAAATAGTACTGAACCCAACAACCCTTCATGGATCGTAGTGGTACAGATTAAATTAATAATAGGGCATAGAAAATAAATTTGTATTATTGATAATATAATGTTTTCGTACTAAAATAGAGGTTTAAATCTGTACCCCGAAGAAAAAGAACACCATGTCCATTTTTGTATTGCTTATATTGTATTTTTCTACTTGATTAATGAGCAATATATTTTACTTTGTTATACATTTTATTTTATAATACATATTATTTGATTGTATATTTTATTTTACCATATGTTATTTTATTTTGTTCATATTTCTATGTGTTATATTATTATTACTTTATTTATTTATGCTTTTGTAAATCTGGAATGTGTGCTCTCTGAACTCTATTATAAATATTCAGTATTAAAAAGATAATTTTTTATCAAATTATTAACACTCGTCTAAAACTTTGTGCCTGATTTGACAAAAAATGGTCTGCACTGGGTTCTACTAGGACTGGGGTAATACAGTAATACATTATAGAGTGTAAATGTAAATAATATTAAAAATATAGCAATAATAATATTATTTAAAACTAATGATTTAAGCATTGGTTATCATTAAAGGCAAATTTTCGTCATAAAAATTATTTTCAATACATGACTTCTTTCTAATGATTTCTGAATTTTGTTTAGAGCTACTAGACGAAAATAGAGTATTCTAAAATTGTTAAAACGAATTAAATATGCTTTGTTTATAAACAAACTCAAGCTGGTTGACATAGCTACATTATCTTTTTTTCGTTAAAACATTGAATGTTCGGTTTTTTCGAACGAATTCTAAAAGCAATGTGTTCAATGAGTGTTCTTATTATTAGAAATAAATTACCTCAAGACACATAGAAGTAAGAGAGTCTTAAAACGCTTTAAATATATAATCTAGACTGCTGAGGACTGAAACAATAGTTAAAGTTAAAGCACAACAGGCCATCACAAAGGACAACGCCAACAGACCAGGTTCAAAGCTACTCCACACAATGGCCAAATTAGAACCGAAATAGACCCTCCCCCCTCTCTTCACCACTTCGCTAAAAAATTAGCTCTTCATTTGACACCCTGATCCGCCACCGATTACAACCCTCCGGGAACCGAATTCGGGCTAAATTACGAAATGTCGATGTATGCCTCTGTGTAAGATGTCGTTGCAGGAAGTGTTCTGTGGCTTCTAATGGTGTCAATGGGGGTCTTTTCAGGCTTCTCGTAAGTATGGCTTCATCGATCTCGCTATACCGCCCTTCTATAATTTACTTTACTTCTATACATCTTCATTCATGACAGAAGAGGAAGGAAGAAGAGTCGAAGAAAATCGACAGTTTCAGATTGTTATGCCTTGTAAGTCCTAACAGATGTAAGTCCAAGTTAACCATTTCCTTCAACTATGCTGATAATAATAAAGAGAATTAGTGTATATAGGTATGCATGTGTTGTTTTGCTTAGTTTTAATTTTCTTATTTTTAGGTTATTTTATTGTTTGTTGCTTGTTTCGATGTCTAGGCGCAAAACATCCAGGTCATAAGCGCCCAATAAACTAAATAACACCACTTAATTCTGTTTGGATGGGTGGTACAAAAAAAAAGGATAAAAAAAAATTAAAGAAATGGATAGATAGAATAAAATAAATAAATAAGAATAACATTAGACATTTGTAGATAATAAGACAGAATAGATAAATAAATAAGCTTTTAAAAAATAGCAGTGAAATCAATAAATGAATTGAGATTAATAAACAAATGGACTTGAAATGAACAAGTGAAACAAATGAAAAAATAAAAATAAATAAATAAAAAAATATAAAAAATAGAATAAAAAAAAATCTGCAAAGGATCATTAATTATAAGCTTGTTATATATGTTTTTTAATTCTTTCACTATCCAGGAACTTGATGACTTTGGTAACGATTTCTTCTTGGTTTCCCAGGGATGCTGATATATTCTGGCATATTCGGAGATCTTTTAATCTTGCGGTGTAAAAAGGCACTCTTCCAAAATATGTTTTATAGGTAGTGATTGGTTACACTTTTGACATCTGGAGATAAGATCTTTTGTTATGAGGTGGAGGTGTGTCAGTCTATTATTTATTTATTGTATATACTTATTATTTATTTATTGTTATTAGTATTTATTTATTGTATATACTTTTGATTATTATTTTACTTCTATTTATTTTATATTTTTTGAACATATTGTGTGAATGTTATCCTACCTCACTATAACTAATGTTAATGTCCAAGAGACAGACAAGACAGAAAAAAAAATAAATAAAGAGAATACAAGTCCTCTGGAGTATAGATTTACTAACTAAGAAACAAATTTTAATAGCTCAAAGTTATGGAACATTGGATCCTCTGAACAAATACAAGAATTGATATGGTGTTTTTTACCTCTAAGATATAGATATAAAAGAGATAGAAATAATATTATTTAAAAATTTAATTTGATGTAAAGATGGTTGACCAATATATAATATGAGGAGTTGATCGGAGGGGTGAGGGGGGGGGGGAGAGGTGCGGTCAAATAAATACTAAATTATAGAAATAGTATTATTTAATTTTTTTGCCGTACCTAATTATATAAATAGTATTATTTAATTTTTTTGCCAATACTAAATTATAGAAATAGTATTATTTAATTATTTTGCCAAATTATGAAGAAAAATCAATAAAAAAGTAATAAAAGAATTAATAGAATAGAATTAATGAATAATGATAATAGACAAATAAATAAACTAAAAAAAAAAATCAATAAATGAATTAGAATCAATGAACTTTAAAAAAAAAAAAAAGGATCATTAATTATAAACTTGTCATATACGTTTTATAATTTTTTCATTGTCTAGGAACTTCAAAGACAAAAAAAAAGTGATTTTAAGTTTTTAGGTAAATATGAATTTTTTTAATTAATTAAACAGTACAATTTCGATTTACGCATTTCTGGCTACATAAAACTAGCCAGTTATTGTTTTCGTTTTGCTTAAAGGCTATTAAGCATAGCTTTTATTGTTTGTAATAAGAATTTTATAATAATAATTATTGATTTGTATTATTATCTTCGCCATTTTTTTTTGTATTTTTAGTAGATCTTTTCAATCCACTACTCTGCTTCGGCAATAATCCAGTAATCAGCTAAAAGGAAAATTATAGATCAATTTGAAGAATAAGGGCAATACATCAATTTGAGCCGCGACGTAGAACGAGCTCGTGGAACTTGCTCCATCATTTTAAAACTACCTTTGTCTCACCGGCTGATGGAAGAGTTTACTGGCATTATACTCCTTTTGGCAACTTCTCAACTTTCTTCATCTTCTTCACCGGCCTATCCTACTTTGTCCTCTAGTTATTGCGGGCTTAAGGGCCAGCTGGAGTTTCTTGTTGAGAGGGATGAATACATAATACACTTTAATGGTTCTTTGAAGTCCTTTTTCTTTTTTTATTCTTTTTTTTTTTAAAAGTGAAAATATAATAAACAAAATTTAAAACTGTATTAACTTTATAAACAAATGAAAAATGACACCGAATTTCAAAAACATAAAATCAAAGTTATAAAGCAAGGTCCGAAATTTTAAGCAATTGAATAAGCAGTTTTTAAACTGGAGAGAAATATTTAGACCAAGCAGCGTACCTCGATTAGATTAGTCAAAGTTTATATTTTTGTATATCTTTATTATTTCAATAAAAATAACAATAATAATTAGAAATAAAGAATTAAAATAGAACATTGATACTTCAATGTTCATATACAATTCATATAGGTTCATTTTCAACCAGCAATTAACAAAAAAATAACGCTACCTTTAGTAATTGGCTTCTTTGGCCATAATAAATTGTTCTTAAAAATTCTATTAAAACAACATAATAATGCAATATAATAAAAAAAAATAAGCATTCGAAAATAACAAAATATTGCCTCACCGTCTTTTCTACAAGAGCAGCTTGAGCTTCCTTGTTGGCAGCGACTTCCTTCTCTTCAGCCTTCCTCTCCTTCAAAGCCTTCAACAGCTTCCACTTGCTGCCTAAAGGGCCACCCTGCTCCTTGGCCCCCAGCTCATCGCGAGGGCAAGGATCGAACTTGAACCTCGGCAGGGATGGGGTGCCCGGGCCGCCTGCATCCATGTCCAGCATTTCATCCTCTTCGTTTTCAGCCATTCGCCTCCTCTCCTCTTCCTCCTCCATCATCTGCTCTTCCGCTTCCAGCTCGTCGAGGCTCGGGTGGGGACTGTCAGGACCAGATGTTTCACCGGATGAACCATCTTCAGGTTCTTCCTCTTCTCTCTCGTCCTCCTCATATTCATGAACAGTCTCCAATGGCGGTTCATGACGATATTCTGGTTCGTTAATTATATCAGGCTGAAGCTGGTACATTTCCATTTGCATCTCTCTTTCTTCTTCAATGTCAGCTTTGGGCATTATTTTCTCTTGTAGCTCTCTCATCAAAGATGTCATATTTATCCTTACAGATTCATCGAGAGGAGGCGTCGCTACCCGCGGTGGAGACTCGTCAAACGGAAGTTCGTTGATTTGCTGTTGATGCTCCATAGCCTCTAGTTTCCTTAGTTCGTAACAGTACCATTCATCCTCACTGTCAATACTGTCTTCCGTACTTTGTCTCCTTGACGAAACTCTGGACGTACTTCTGCACGAATGGGTACTCCTGTTGTCTTCATCTAAATCCGCTGAAACTCTTCCACCCCAAGGGATCTCGAGGCTGGTTTGATGTCGGGTCGGGGGACGAGAGTGAGGTTGTCGATTATTATCTTGCTGGGCAGCCTCCGCGTGTCGGCTCTCTTCGGAGCTGATTCTTTCGAATATTTCATTTCTTCTCATTTCTTCAGCTTCTTCATCCTGAGTAATAATGGCAAGTACCTCGTCCCCCGCTTCTTGCGAAGACTGTCGCCGTCTGTATTTCCCTAAAGCGCGCGATACGGCAAATTCCCGTGAAGCTTGGCCAACAGAAACAGTTACCGGAACATCCTCCTTAGTTTCCTCCTCCCTTGGTTGAGAAGCCTTTTTTACTTCACCAATGGTCTGGAACAAGGCCGTTGAATCCGTGTTTTCAGCGGGTGGAGGCTCTGGAGATTGCTGCAGCGTAACAATTGGCGGTGCTTCTTCTTCCGTTACACTAGGTTCAGTGAAAGGAACTTCAGGAACCTGTTCGGAGTAAGTTGAAACACTATTTGATACGGTTGGTTGCGAATTGTCAGGGTTACTTTTTTGTGGAGATGACGTAGGAATCATTGAATATATGTTGTCCTGAGCTTCAGAAAATACACTATCCTCGCTGTCCTCAGTTAAGCTTCTTCCACCCCATTCTGTTTCAGATTGTTCTGGGTCTGAAAGAGAATGGCCATGATGGCCTTTTCTTTTGGCCTTTTGTAGAATTCCTGACATTGTAGATACGAGAGGGTGTTTTTTTTTCTTTCTAGGTGTCTTAGATCCTTCTTTCGTTTTGACTAAATCTTCTTTGCGCACTCCAGAAGGAAGCGAGTATGATCTGTGCCGTTTATGCAAATGTAAATCGGGAAGCCAGTTGCTGACTTGACTCATAGCGTGTCTTAAAGTGGCATGCTTTTTGTGTTTTTTTTTGTCCTCTACGGCATCTTTAATATCTGCCGAAAAGGATATGTAACCCGATTGAGAGACTATTACACTGCTTGGGTCGTAGTAACAATCTCTCTGTTCAACAACCCTAGGTTCTTCGTTACTCACCCATTCTTCGCTCCGCGGTGGCTTCTTAGGAGGTATCCTTTCGATGGCAGACCTGATAGTACTAGCACTAGATTCTCTACTCATGTCATCTTCTTGATTACCAGGAGGGTAGTACGTCAGTGCGTCAGTTATGTTACCTGTAGGGAACATTGTTCGGTACATAGCCACCCTATATCCTTCCATGCTAGCAATACCTTCGGGTTGGCTGTAAGACACCGAGACAGCGGAATGCACCCTCTGAAGAGAACGGTGGCTGTGACTGGGGCTGGGAGGAACGAATTGGCGCTGCTGGTTTTGAGCATACTCTTGACTTGCGTAATGACCAATGAGGTCTGGGTAACTTGTCAAAGTGTTAGATCTCCCTGTGTAGACTGAGGTGAAATACGATTCTCCATGATTCCCTGCGACGGAATAGATTGCAGGCTGTTGATCTCGGTAATAGTAATCTTCGTGATGGTGGTGTCTTCTCTTTGGTGTTTGGGGTTCTGGTGCTGGTGGAGGGACGAAGACAGCGCCATCGGTGAGGTTAGTACTAGTAGGGGTTCTGACCGTCGTAAAAGAAGAAGTCCTATGGCCACCCGGCAAAACACCATTGTAATCACCATTATCACTAAAACCTTCATTGTCGTTGTAAAGCGAAGGTTGCACATTAATAGATGGGTAGGACCTAGGTTGATTCGTCAGTCTACTATGGGTTTCGGCTGAGTTGGAAGATTTATTGGCGGCTTTAGGAGAACCAGGAGACTTTTCCAGGGAGCTCCAACCGCTCATAGAAGACAAACCCGAATCGGATTTGGCAGAAACGATCTTCGAACACTTATTAATATGTTTAGGAGACGTTCTGGGAGACTTGGGTGAGGTCCTCGGAGTGACTTCTTGGACATCGTTGGGCATAAGGAAGACATTGACCCGGTCCTGCGGTGCCGGGGGTGGTGGACTGCTGTTCTCAGGAGGTGCTTCGTAATCTTCCTGCAGAGACCTCACTTTCTCCGGCGAAAGATCGACGAAATAGGCAGCCTCAAGGTCGAACTTGGGAGACTCTGCCCTAGGACTGTACAGGGACTCATCGACCCGCCTGTGATGGTTCGGTGAATGATCTATATCATAAGCTAGGCCGCTAGACAAATTGACATCATCTGTAGTATCTATATCATACTGGTTCCTAGAACCAAGTCCTAATTCTAAATCTTCTTGTTCCCTCGGTGATCCCCTAAAGCTCCAATTATCGATTCCACTCTCTTCATACATTCTACTAATCTGTTCATCTATATCACTAGGCACCTCGTCACCAATCTTAGGTATGCTGTCATTTTTTAATTTAGGTGATTCGCACAAAAGTCTATTTTGAAGCTCTTTGAGATTTCTCGAATCGTTTTTAAGCTTTGTCGTCAATCGATCCAGTTCTTTTAATTTTTCGATAGCCGCTTGATCGACTTTGCTCAATTGTACTTCCGCACGTCCGTTCTCCTCTTCTGGTTCTTCCCAAATCATACCCAGTTGTGAAGGACCAGAAGCGGGTGGATGAGAGACGAGGTCGTTCCTATAGGCGGTGTTGAGGCTCCTATAGAAGGCCTCGTCTGGAAGGCTGTCAATGCTCATCTTGAGTTTGAGGTCGGATATGAGCGAATCGGCGGGGATAGATGGAACGAGGTCCATGCAAGAGCCGGCCTCGATCCCTTGCACGTCGGAGGCGGAGTAGAAGTGGATGAGCTGCGCGATGACGCCCTGCTGCTCGCAGAGGAGGAGCTCCAGCTTCTCGAGGCGCTCCCACATCTTGATGTACTCCTGGGAGAGGAGGTCGAGGGCGCGCCAGGCGTAGCGGAGCTCGTACTCGAGGCGGGCGATCCTGACCCCGAGGCGCTCCATGCAGTCGCCGATGACGAGGTCGAGGCCGGGAGGGGCGGGCGGGGCGGCTCCGGCCCCCTCCTCCATTCCCCCCGCCCCCTGCTACGTCCGCTCCTCCTCATCCTCCTCCGCTCCTAACAACATCACTCTCTCTTAGATACTTCCAAACCAAGCCACTTCTAGCAACTGTGTGTCATCTCTTATCTAACCCATCAAACTTTAAACAATAACTGAATACTGAGTATTATTATAAAGAAAAATTGATTAAAATAAGGTTTGGTAATGAATACTGATACAATAAATATTAAGTGTATAAAATTATAATTATTCTTTTTTCTGGGAGGTTGTCTAATATTCTTAGTTATTTGGCAATAATTACTTCCAATTGGTAACAATTGAATATATTTCTCATATTACGTTACATGTTAACAAGTTGACGTTTCGGGATATTTACTCCCATCTTCAGAACTACAATCCAGATAATCTTATGAATGCAAGGCTAAACAACTTTTTGAGTCAAAATATAGTGCATATTACATTACATGTTTGAATTTTGTTGTTATAATAAATTTGTAATTACCTCAAAAATAATAATAATGTGCTCCATCGTCAAATTTCTAATTCATGTTATAAAATATACCATCTAGAGCTACATCTTGCTTTAGACCAATAATTGGGTGTCTGCCATGGTGAATACAATTGACCTTTGGATCTGACTATTTTTATACTATCGTTGTTAATGTTTATTTTATGTATCTGCAATTTCACTTTTATTAAATTTTAATTTTGTTTAATATGTCCGTATAATGAGTTCCTAAATGTTTAGTGTCTGTTTTGTAATTGACTGTTGTTCTGTTGTTTTTGTGTATAGCTTCAAGTAATTTCCTATTGTTATTTTTTGGTTCTGCGCCTATTATCTGTGGGTTATTGAAGTTAAATTTATGCTGTATTCTTATACTGTGATGTGCTAAAGTTGTTGTGTTTATGTTTTTATATTTTTACAGTTGGTGATATGTTGTGAAATTCTGGTCCCTAATTGCTTGGATGTTTCAGCAATGTAGATTTTGGGGCGGTTTTGACAATTTAATTTGTATATTACATTTTTCTTGTTTATTGGGTCTATTTTATCCATTGTATTGGAGATGTGCCAGCTCAGTTTCTTATTATTATATTGTCCGAGTTTAATTTCTGTTAAGTCATAATTTTTGAACACGTCTTTAATTTTGTTAGTAAGTTCAGGTATGTATGTCATTTTGTAGTAGTAGTTAAAGTCCATTTTGTTTGTTTGTGATACGTTGTCCTGATTGTTCTCGTTTGATGTATTTGTTTTTTCAAAAAATTGGGTGATGAATTGTTGTGTAGGTTTCTTTATTGTAATGTTTTCTATTGGTGTCTTTTGTATTGTTTTTTTTTCTATTTTTGTTATGGTTTAGTGTTGTATGTAATCGACTGTACCAGAGTTTGGTGATTATAGTTTATTGGGTAAAAGTTCTCGATAAGTATTTTGTATATTTCTGTTTTTACTTGTGGAATGTAAGGTTTGTCAGTGATTATTGGTCTAAAGCAAGATGTTGCCCTAGATGATATATTTTATAACATGAATTAGAAATTTGACGATGGAGCACATTATTATTTTTAAGGTAATTACAAATTTATTGTAACAACAAAATTCAAACATGTAATGAAACATGCACTATATTTTGACTCAAAAAAGAGAATATAAGAAATATATTCAATTGTTACCAATTGGAAGTATAATTATTCATTTGTTGTTGGAGCAAAACTATACGTTGTTTTGTATTTACATAAAAAAAAAACCAGTATCCATTACTGTGGTGTATGTTTGAACAGGTATAAAATATGTTTGAACAGGTAGAGAAATTTAGGTATCTAGGTTCTACGATAACTAGAAAAAACGAAATTGAAGAAGAGATTAAGGTTAGGCTGAATGCTTGTAATTTTTCTGTGACAAAACTACTTAGCTCGCACCTCTTGTCCCGGAACTTAAAAATTAGAATCTATAAAACCATTATCTTACCTACAGTTCTTTATGGATCCGAAACTTGGCCACTTACATTAAGGGATGAGCAGCGTCTTAAGGTTTTTGAAAATAATGTATTGCGTAGAATATTCGGACGGGTTCGGAGTTCAGACGGTTTCACAGCGCTGAACTGCGTAAACTGTATCCGGGTAATATAATTGAGGTGATTTCATCCCGGCGAATCAAATGGGCTTGTAAAATTATTGGGCTTAGTAACGAAAGAATTCCTAAAAGGTTAATATTTGCTGTACCGAATGTTAAACGTCCGAGGGGTAGACCGAAGAGAAGATGGAAAGATTCCATTAAAGCCGCTCTGAAGGGACTAGGTTTGGACGGTGAACGGTAGAGGGAGGTGTGTAATAAGCTATTGGTGGTGTCGGCATCGAACCTTCGGGTTCGCTAAGCCTTTTATTATTATTTATTCTTATTATTATTCATTAATGCAACGAGGGTGTATTGAAATCAATATGGTTGAATAGATATTTTAATAATGTGGAAAATAAATTTAAAAAGTGGTGAAATTACTTAACATGAGAACTAGCGTAGAAATAATTTAAAAGCAATTTTTTTGATGAAAAATTATGATAAGAAAGATTATTATCATTAATAAATGATCAAACGTAACAAATAAAACTGCAAGACCAGGACACTAACCAACACCCTAGAAATAAATATTGAGAGATTTGGGAGAAAAATCCTCCGCATGATAGTAGGAGGGATCTGGTATCAGAGTACTAAGGCATGGAAGAGAAGGACCACTAAAGAACTGCTCGTAGAAACTGATCAATCAATATATGATGACATAAAGGCAATGAGATTAGAATGGAGGAGGATCATGTAGCTGGGGGGAGTATGCATCAGGAAATCTCTACACAACGAAAGAATATCCCAAGAGAGAAAGTCCTGAATTTTGGGCCGAAACGTCGGAAAGTATAAAAATAAATAATATTTATTTATTTTTGACTGAATACCCCAACCAAGTTCTCTTCAATTATTCACTAAAGTCAACAATCGTACCATTATTCCTTATCTAAATGCCTTAACTCTATTTCTTGCATTGAAGTGTGAGATTGTTGAGTTACCGGAAATTTTTTTATAATAGTCACCACACCATTTTTTTTTAAAAGTACTTGTTTAAAATCACATTTTAATTTTCTTTTTTTTAATTTAGTTTAGATCTAATCTCCACTGGATTTAGTACCAGTGAGGCGATTGAGAGAGTAGCGCAGGGTTCTCCTGGAGTTCCGTCGCCTGATTGTATATAGGTATGCATGTGTAATTTGTTTAGTTTTAATTTTCTTATATTTAGGTTATTTTATTTTATTTATTGTATATACTATTTGATTATTATTTATTGTTATTTTGCTTATATTTATTTTATAGTTTTTGTACATATAGTGCGAATGCTATCCTACCTCACTATAACTAGTGCCCATGTGACAGATTTTTGTAATACTCAATAAATTAAAAATAAATAAAAAATTGTTTAGATCTAAGATACTTTTATATATGCAATTTTTTATTTGTCTTAATAAAGTTCCATTGAAAACGTGAGGTTAATCTCTAACTTTGTCACATATATCAATGCAACTAACCACTTCAAAACTATTTTCAAATTCTACTATTTATTAAAAGTGAGCTTTTAGTCCCGATGATGCTAGTATAAGTCATGTTACTGTGCTTAACTTATACTATGCTAGTATAAGTTATATTAAAATTTCCATAGATGACTTGAAAAATCATCGTTATTGTTAGTGTAATTACTAATATCCGTGATAATTAAAATAACACAATAATTACCAAATGGCCTTTCGCTCCGAAAATTAATAAAAAAATTTGAATAAAACGTAATTGCAGTTACCAGGAGTTGTGTATATTTCAGCTGAGTCTGCGTGTGATAAACAGCCAGGTCTAAAAAATGTTTCTTGTTACAGTAAATCCAATCCCACGCAACTTTCATGCACGCAATTTCGGTTTCGACCGCTAGACGTCTCGTGACCATAACGTGAGGATCGAAGGTTTGTCGTTGTTTGTATTAGTGTGAAGGGGTCGTGGTACCACAAAGAGTGACGGTTATAATTCCAATAACATAAACGATTTAATTTGTATTATTTATAGACATTAAAGAACACGAATACAGACATTACCATGTCCAATGGGATTTGATCTTTACTGTGGTTTGGATGAAGAGAACGGTAATTATTCGGTTGATAAATAAGTCCTTTCGGTTTATTTTTATGTCACTATGATACTCCTTTAATCTAATGAATTAATCCCTAAGGTAGATTATTTATCCTATTTTTAATCTGTCAACAACTATATCTGTCGACTCTTTTGGAAACTAGCTTAGTATTGTATTTGATATTGGACTGTAAATATGGAAGAAAATATCATTCATTATCCCCATATTTTGTTGTATTATTTTAAAAAAGGTAAGTGTGCTACAGAACAATTTGCAGTGTTTATGGGGATAATGCCTTAACCGAACGCACCTGTCAAAATTGGTTTGCCAAATTTCATTCGAGAAATTTTGACATCAATGATGGTCAACGGTCTGGTCACCCACATGAAATTTAAACGAGAAATGCTAAGACCATTGTTGATCAAAATCCCAATCAGTGCGAGAGATTGCAATGGCCCTAGATGTGTCGCACACAAGGGTAGAAAACCATTTGCACAAGCTCGGCTATGTTCTCCGGTTTAATGTTTGGGGTCCTCACATGATTTTTTTTTTTCGAAAATCACAGAAAATGTTATAACTTCAATACGACTTTAGCTATCTACAAGAAATTTTGCAGGAATTTAAGACCACATAAAATGACATCAACAGGACTTACATAAGCAAACTACAAATGGAAATAAAAAAATAAAAACCTATAAAGAATTTTGTCTATTTATTCCTTATGTAGGCATTATCAAAAAACCATTCATACGGCTTTGAAGAGCAATAATTCAGCCTTCCTACGGATATAGTAACATCGAATTTGGAGAACATCCTGAAGAGTTATGAATGATCGGAAGGGTGTTGTGTTCCACCAAGACAACG